TACGCACGTTTTCAATTTTTAATTTTTTAAATTTATTTTCATAAATATCAATCAAATTTTATTTGTTGGATCAAAATGCATGAAAATGTAATACAAGACTTAAGATTTAAAAATGATTATGTGGCTATAAATTTATAAGCTGTTCAAATTTTGTAACTAAGAATTAATATTTAATTAATATTTAAAACAAGAGTCCATGTATTTAAGTAGTTTATTCTGTAACCAAAAAATCTTAAAATATACATAAACACAGTTTTTTTTTATAGTTTTGTTAAATTTAAATTTGGAAAAACTATGTATTAACACAAAGAATAACGATTTTAGTCGTTTTGTTGTAACTTAAAATTTATATTCATGGGCATGTGAAAATTTAGAGTATCTATGCTAATATTGCTATTTTATTTTATACAGGCAATGTAGCTTTCAAATGTAATTTTTTTTAGCAAAAATGAAGTTAACCTTTTGTAGTTCTAATTCCTAATAGAAAAATAAATTGCTTTAAACACAATAATTATATCATTAAATATAATAAGTAATATCATAGGCTGACATTATAATAAATAACACAGCTTAAGTTTTTATTCGTGCAGGAACTTACAATATATTATTATGAGTGATTTGTACATGCTAGGAAGTCTCGTGTAGAAACTTATATTAGTCCAACAACATAATATGTCGTTTATGATTCCTGACAGTTTCCTTGAATCAATCGTAATATACTAATATAACGCATTTTATTTTAAAACTCGTTTGCCTATTGAATAACCGTAGGTACATCACGATCTCGCAATCCGATCTGCGTAATTCTCGGGGATCGTATAATATCAATATATTGATGACTAAATAAAGGGTCCGTATACTATAATACGATTGTAATGATTATCTCTAGATTGCGTAACAGATCAAACTTATCTATAGATCACAGGAAAATAGGCCATTTCTGATCAATTTTAAGAAGGGAACGGACATAAAACCGCTAGCAAATGCACAACTATTGATCTAGGTAATAAAATATAGTAATTAAGAGGACGCTATAACCGCATGTGTTGTCTCCGTCTTACAAGAGCGTAACATATCAAATTTTACGTACAGCAGATCAAGTTTGGCTCAGTTAGCTACTTAGCTCAGTTTAGCAGTTATGAGTAATTAAAAACTGTAAATTGTTTGTACAACTTAAAATACTCATAACTCTCTTTAAAATTAAAATATAATAAAAAGCCCATCCATCAGAAGCTCTTCGTAATAATCTTATCTTTAATTTTAATAAGAGGTCAATTCACTCTAATTTTTAAGCTAACTGATCTGCTGGACGTAAAATTTGATATGTTACGCTCTTGTAAGACGGAGACAACACATACGGGTATAGCGTCCTCATAATGTGTACCAGGTACACAGGTACACTGTACCTACTTGACTAGCTATTAGTTAGTAAATAACATCAAAACAATTTTTAGAAAATCATTAATTTATTTAAAATTTTAAAATAGTAACATATTAGTCATTAAGTAGGTACTTATAACTCAATAATGAACTATATTATAGTTCATTAGTTCCTATAGTGTATTTATTATATCTTGAGAATCAATAATGCTCATGGATTTACGACTGTCTTTTACGACAATCGATAAAAATGAATGTATAATATTATAATAATACCTTAACTTCGTAATACGTTTTGGCCTAAAGTATTTTTCAAAAAATGTTTGGCATATTTTAATTTAAAAGAAGAACGTTTGCATTCAACCCAAGTGACAGATAACATATTTAGAATAAGATATATGTATTATTAAAGTGAAGGCCACTATTTTCATTTATTTTTCCTTTATTTTTTCTCAAACTACTTTTGTGTGTTTTTTTGGAATTGTCTGTTTTATATATTTTTGCAGCTAAGAGCAAAAGCGAATGGCTTAAAATAAAAAATGTACCTATAATATTACCATAGACTATGCATATTTAGACGTCAAGGAGTCATACGACGAAAGGGCTTTATTGCTTCCAAAATGTCTCGTGAATACGGAGAGAGCCCACCGGGAAAATCCCGGTTTCCCGATAGGTCTTACGCCCATGCTGCGAATAAGTGATGACTATTAGGGTGGCAGGATGTCATCGTACAGATTTGATGGAAATGAATTACGAAATAAACGTATGTTTTCTTTCTCAAGCCCATTTTTGTCATTGGTACTACAATGATTATTAAGCTGTCCACGATCGTCCCTGTGTCCCGAAAATCTTTATCAAGACTTCAGTATATGTCCCTGAAATATAATTGGGTATTACAAATTTATAAACTCTAATTGGATGATTTAATATTGTAAATTATCTTTCTGGTTTTTCATAGGTGTTGCCATTCATGGATGTTTCGTTTTGTTTATATTTTTTTGTTTAGTCATATTTATATAATAGTGGGATAAAATTCTAGATTTGGAGTCTGATATACTTGTTTATAATATTTTAAATAATTTTTTTTTTTATAACATTTAACAGTTGTTGGTATACGTAATTTTTTAATATTTCATGTATAATAAAATTATAATTTATTAGATTATTTCTGTTATACGATATGTCGAGTGTACCTCATCAGTCATCATTGAGGGGTAAGTCACTGTGATGTATGTGTTGAATTGGAATTCAATTAATTCAAATCATTGCATGTGAAAAACGATTCTAGGTTAAGATATGGTCTATTATATTACTAAGTATAGGAGGTACTGCTTATAAATATAATATATATTTCATTTTGCTACTAAAATAATTGATTTTACTATTAGTAATTCAGAAGGTTCAGTACTTGAAATGCTCGAAAAGGCAATAACGGACAGAAAAAAAATTAAAAAATACACATTGTTTCAAAATCAATACTTTCATGCTTGGAAATAAATACTGAATATAGGCATACGCAAATACGCATGTACATATTATATATTATTATTATAATATTTATATAATAAATTGTACATATTAGATACTTCAAGTCTAAACAAAGTTTTCATTGGGAACTGGAGACTTAAAGTTAAATAGTAAATACTTATATTTGCGTTTACTAAACATTATGAAACAATTTTTAAAATAGTATTTCGGCTTTGGGGTAAGTCAAGAATAAAACGTATACTGTACATTTTAAAGTTATGTAGTTATGTCATTTTACATTATATGTAGTACAACTGCACAAGTAGGTACGATATCGATACTATGTATTTTCCCAGGAAGCAGTTATCGTTGACGACAGTCGAGAATTCGAGACGGTACTTACTAATAATATTATATGTGTACAATATACATACACTTGTCCAACGTATTTTTAATGACTTATATAATTATTTTAAAAATGGTTTTTTAATTACAATTGGGCCTGGTCAAGTGGATTTAAAATAAAATAAATACAAACGGGTCTGATCGAGTTGGGCATAAATTTAAAAAAAAGTATTCGGCCTGGGCGAGTATACATTTTTAATTTAAATTTCGGGCCGGTTTGGGTAAAAAGATGGACCCTGCAAATCTATAATACATTATACTCGTATTCATATTATTTTGATATACCGTACATTATTAATAGTCGAGAATCCCAGTATAGGTACTTTTCGTTTTTCAGATGCATTATATATATATGAGACGTTTGCCAGAAGTCCATTGTTTTTTTATTATTAGGTATACTCCCGAAATTATCCAGATAACCCTTACCCTAAACTGTCTGTCATGTTTCAGTCACTGGTGATAACAACTCAAACACCCATTTTAAGATTATGGACTTAAACAAAATACACAAAGGGTTAACTTTTTTCCGTTCAAAAGTAACTTAATTTAGTAGTTATTCTTATAAATTTTTAAATATAACAGAAACCACACATCGTAGACATATATAGTATATACTAGGTATTATGAACTGAACGGTAATCGTTGAAATTCGCATAATTTGTTCAAATTGTTGTTTACAGTTAGTAATTACACTCCGAGTACGATATTTTCTGAATTAAGATCAAACTCAAAATACATTTTGAAAAAGATTTTATCACCAGTAAAAACAAAAATTATAACTTAAAATATAAAAAAAAATTGTGTTTGTTACTCTCGTAAGCTAGCTATATCTGGTAATATATTTTTTGTGTCCCTACTCTCTATAAACATGTCCCGATTACTATTTATCGTATTATAGTCGACAGATAGCGAGGAAGAAAAATGGTTTCATTTTAATCGACGATTGACACAAAATGTTGAATTCTATCAACTGCCGAAAATCTGTAGCCCGAACGTTTGACCGTCTTGGTCGACTTAGCTGGATGCACCGCCTATATAATTCACGCAAAAGAATATGGATAGATATTTTTTTATACAAAAAGAGATGTCACAGTCACTGTATAGAAAAGACAGTCCCCGAAAAAAACGATCCAAAAATGAAGTCTCAGGATAGCATGTCTTAGTGCACGGTCACTTTTAGTTTTAAGTTCTTGAATGTTCCAGATATTAAGATTTGTGGAGTTTATTTTTGCCCGACACATAATTCTGGGACTCGGTTTCCTGAAAAAAACGAAACATTCGAATACTCGGCGTTGACGTCACCGTCACGAACACGTTCCGCGATGGAACACCACCGAACGGTGCGCGTGCGTGCGAGCGTCGCGTCCGGCTCAAACTCCGGCACCTCCACCACCGCCACCGGTACCCCGCCATGACCGCCGGTACTCGGCGGCGTCGTCCGGTCCCCACCACTCGGAAACCACTACCGTTGCCGCCACCGCCACTCCGCACCGCTGCGTGGCTGACAATGAAAGAACGTAACGAAACCCACCTGAATACTACGAAATAATAAAACCAGACCCGTCGTGACCGGGCGCCGCGCGCGCACTCGAAACACAACCGCCGCACAAGGCGACACGATCACACGCGCGCGCGTCCCGTCCCGTTGCCGTCGTCGTTTCCTCTGCAGCAGGCCGCGAACTCCTCTCGTCATCGTCCACCGAACCGAAGGCGGCCGCTGGCCATGTCGTGAACATGCGGCGGACGCGATGCGCATCAGCAGCCGGTCGTTGAACGGCGGTCGCGGCCGCGTTCTGCTGCGGCTTGTGCTTGCGCTGCTCCTGCAGCTGCACGCTTGCGCTGCCGGCTTGCAGCAGAACGCCGCGCCGACGACCGCGGCCACCGAGGACGTGGCCGCGGCCGCACCGGTGGTGCACAAGTGTTGCGGCCGCGACGAGATCGTCGTCGTCAACCGGTGCCGGAGCGCCAACGAAACCGGCTCCACGCCCTGGACGCCCGAGTTCAGCGCCAGCCACGAAGACGAACCCGTCGCCGGACAGAACAGTTTGCCGGAATCGTCCGTGCCTTACAAGTGAGTACGCACAATGAATATTGTAGGTGGATGATAATATATAGGTCAGCGGTCCTTATTTAAGGTTATTATCGTTTCGTAAATAAATTAGTCGGGTAGGTATGTGTATTACAACGATTTATATTGGTAACGTTCGCAAACCGCACGAGGCCTAGTCCCGCGGACCGTGGTATACTGGTAGATATCTGCGTAAATCGTATTCGAATTTAACGGCAACGGACCATTCGAATCGTTGCGATTTTATGTATCTGTGGACGATTTTCGTCGTCGTTTTTCTGTTTGTTCGTATTTTTACCACACGAAAAACCGTTACTAAATCGATAACACAATTGCCGCTCGACCCTCAACCCCTTAGCGCCCCCATTTCCGCGCCAATTATCTATGTGTAGCGCACGCGACGTTCCTGTACGACAATAACATTTGGAAAGCGTTTCCGGTGCGATTTCTGTAGGTACTGCACCGAAGCTACTGCCAGTTATCCATAATTCGGCGACGTTATACGAGCAATAACAATAATCGTTATGATACCATACAGTATTGTACATGGAGCATACTTCGGTTAGGTAGCCAGCTGCTCGGGTTTTATGTCACGAATATTCAAATCGATCACACCGCAAACCCATTATTGTAATATATTTTATTATGTATACCTATAGCCGGAGTACTTACACCACTGTTCCGTAAACGAGCACTCTCGACCGAACGTGTCGTATAGAATGAGAATTTAACGGTACTACACGTGAGAGTGTGCGTGTGTGTGTGTGTGTGTGTGTGTGTGTGTGTGTGTGTATGTGTGTGTGTGTGTGTGCGTGTGCGTGTATATAATATGCTGTGTAGGTACTCCGGGAGCGCACATCCGCTGTTCCGGGTGGTGGTATAATAAATAATAATAATAATACGACTCGGAGTACGTAAAATACGTGGGTACCTAATACCTATATATTATATACTCGATGTGACGACGCGTTTCGGACGTATTGTGATCATCTTATAGCTTATATTTTATTTAATATTATTATTTTATGAGCGATAATATTATCATCATCGTGTATAATGTGTGCAATGATGCAATCGAGTCGAAGGACGAGACGCGCACATAATAATAATTAATATTATTTTGTCGATTCGCCTGTATAATATACTAGGCATAAGAAATAATAATAACAACAACAATAATATTATAATAACCGGCACACATGAAGAAAGCCGTCACGACGGCGCTGACAGTGAAACAGTGTCGGTACAGAGGGTGGTCGAGGTGAGAGAGACAGACAACACACACGTCCATAACAAACACGACCATTGTCACATAATACATTAGGTATAATACTATAGTATACCATAATAAACGTATCTATGTATATTGTTTATATATGCAGTACCGGGTGCAGTACAAAAGGGTTGCTAAGTCGAAAACCAAAATAGCAAACGTTCAAAACAGTTAAAATTTATGAAGTGCACAAATAATATTGTGTTCTCAGTTAAAAATTTTTAAACAACTATTAATACATCTTTGGTTTTATATTGTACCTCTACATTTCTGCAGTGTTGTATCTTTATTTCTCCGATTTCATATTTCAGTATTAATGTGTTACCTACACATTCATGTTAAAAATGTACATTTCAATGTTCCAACTTCCTTGTTAAATATCGGTAACTATTTCATCACTAAAATTAATTTGTATTTTCTTCTATTGTCTGTCTTAGACTTTTGTGTACGAAGACGATAATTGAATAATTATAATGCCTAGTAGGTACCTCCCCCCTTATTGACACATTATCAATTATCCGTTTCATTTATGTGTTGTTATTATGTATTTATTACATTATTGCCATACAATTTATCGCTATTTTGAACGATTTGTGTTTTGTATTTTGATTATTTTATGCATACATCAACTTATTTTTTAACGGTTGCTATATTGGTTCCAATGTCGTTGTCAAAAATTGTTTTTACGTTCGAGTGATTCACTGCACAATAATAATAATAATATTATAATAATATGCGATGTTCGTCATTCGAGATTCGTTGAAAACAAGTATATGGCAAACCAATACCATATATTACAGACCCACGCGTGTTTGTTTTTTTTATCTGAAATCCAGTGACTCTACACCAACGACGATGACGTTTGAAACTCGACTTACAAATCCACACAACTCCACCAACATTTAGTACAAAATACTTTCTTTTTTCTTCTTTTTGTCTCCGTCGGAACCTGAACTTTGTTTTTTTTAAAACATTTTTTCACCTAGACTTTAATTATGGTGGTGTAGGAGGGAGAGCCTCCTGCTCTCCCTCGACTCAGATATCAGTTGACATGTCGTATAAGCAATCACTTGAACATTTTGTCCAAAAAGTGTGCGGTAGCGCTTGTCCAAAAAGTGTGCGGTAACGCTTGGATTAACTCCCTAGCCGCTAAGGTAAATAGTTGCCAAAATAAAATATTAGTGCCGGGTTGCATAAACAATCATTAAACATTAAATGGATCAATAACTAATGAGCTAATGGTCCCTTAAAAATCATTTATTGGGCCATAGTTGGTCCATTAAATTGTAGTGAACCATTTAATTAATCCAATTCAAGGCACATAGGTATATATTGGAAACAAAATTTCAAACTTTTAATTTTATTAAATTGTACTTTACTATTTAGGTTTTAATATATTAATCTTTGTAGTTTTGTAATTATCATGAATCGTTACCATAGTCATTTTTTCATTTTTTTTCGTGTGGCATATTACGTGTTTAATACCTGGTGATACCTGATACATTGAAAAACAGTTATCATTCTTCAAAAAAACTAAACAAGTAAACAATACAAACATAAAAAATGTAACATTTAAAAATTAGGAAAACCGTAAACATCATTGTTCTCATTATTTTAACCATGTTAAACAAAGGAGTTGTGTTAACTCTTGACTTTCAACACATTTAGAAGCTCTTTTTATTTTAAAATATCCCTCTGTTTAAGTTGTATAAATTAAATTATTTTTGAACATATAACCAATATAAACTATAATGTTAAATATAATATTATTGATCATAGTTAGCATAGACTACAATGGTCATTCATTGTTGTAAGAAGTAAAATGTGCATAATGCACAAATAAAATATGCAATATGTCAATATGTATAAATACATTTAAATAATATAGGTCATTACTCATTTGTTTGGATTTTTCTGTCTAAAAAGATTGTAATATTAAAATGTGTTTATGGATCATACATTGTTTTTTTGGTTTCTCGATCTGCTTTTTCGTTCTTTATTTCTTTATGTTTCAAATAATTTTTTTCCTGACTAACTCTGGTAATGGCAGTTACTTATGGTTTATGGATTTATTTTATAAACTTTTAAATTTGCTGAGTGGGTTGGTGAATATCGTACCTATAATTGTAAGACTATTAACTATTAAGACTTAAATATTTAATACCTTAAAATTAAAATACAATGTGCACAGGGCTCGATTTTCCAATTCATGTGCCCATATTTGAATATAATATACATGTACATCACGTCTTAATCATAAAAATGTACTGCATGGCACGCTCAAAATTTCTCTGGACACATAGCCTTCCAATATCAGTTTTTTTCCACTGGAGGCCATGTGAATAAGCGTAGTTTAATATTAATGGCCGACTATTGTAGGTACAGGTGCATTTTGTATAAAGCCATAATTTATATATAAGGCTTCTGCGGGGATTTAACCATAGCGCCACTTTCGACTTTCTAGATCGCCCCAATAATCCGTAAACCTATAGCTTAACCAAATAAATCATTATAATATTATTGTCATCGTTGGTGCGTTGTGATTATGTTAATAATGTGCAATAACGAAATGGTTCCGGTACCGTTCGATGTGCCTACAGCCTACTAGAGCACTAAAGCCAATCAATATTGATTTTTGAGTCGGATGCCCCGTAACGACGCTGGTGGTGGCAGTAACGACCACACGTCGATATAAAATAATAATACGATTCACACTCTCGAATTTGACAATTTTGACCACGCTGCAGACAGAGTCGGGGCGATAATAAGTACAGGTATATTGTTACTTAGGGTGAATTTGTTTTAGCACACCCCTCCTGTTACGGTCGTATACTACAGTAGCATGGCCGATTTACTTTGACGGACGTTGATTTCAATCTAAAACAAATCGAAAATATGATAGATTTCGTACGTACCGGCTTTGATGTGTTGGTTGAGTATTTCTATGTGAGGCAGTAAGTGTACCTACTCAAACCATCGAACAGAAAACGGTTTTAGCACATTTTTCCAAAACGCGTTTACAATAATTTGAATAAAACGTTATTTGAGTAAGGTAAATGCACATTAGACAGTTAAAATGACGGTAAATAGGTCTGTACATCATATTTGTTTTGTGTTAAGTTATATTTTCATTTGATTTCGCACGTTTTGCAGCTTTCGTTGTCTTGTCGAAGAACCACCCTGCTGCAGCACGGCTGCAATAATAATAATAATTGGCAAGATAACTGTGCGAGTAGCGAATGTATATAAGGACGGTTATATATATTCCGCCGTTCGTCGTGCCGTGCGTTTTTTTCTCCGTCTCATTTATTTTATGTATACTATTATTACACACACGTATGTGACTGCGTTTACGGGCATTACGAGCCGACATTCCGGAAACCGGTTTTCAAAAACGTTTGCCGATTCGCATTGTTTTGCTGTTTTTTCGTACACACAACATCCCGTGAATATAATACTACGTAGGTACATGGTAAGCGTACGCGACAGATTGCCGTTTTGCCTTCCAGACGGTGGACCATGCGCTTTGCCCACAACGCCACGACCGTGTAGGTAATGTTTATAGAATGGTGTCCTGCAGACTTTAATGTCCTCGAAAAGCTTAAAATATTATGATGCTTCCGTCCACCTCAAAGTATTCGGCCTTAACAGGACGCCACACCCGCATGACTTGTTATGTCTGTCTTACAAAATGTACAACATGGCAAATTTTACGTTCACAATAATACAT